AGAAGGCTGAGCAGAAACTTCGTCAGTTGGAAAGCGGCTTTGAACCTCTGAGGCACGAACTTGCCAACAAGAACGGACAGCTCGAGCACGAGAAGCGACGTCTCAACGACGCTATGAGGCACCGCGATGCCGTTGAGCGAGACATGAAGATCTTCACCGAAAGTCTTGCTGCAAACGAGTCCGAACTCGCGTCAGACTTCAAAAAGTCGCTCAGTAATGCCGAGGAGAGACAGCTTGTCGAGCTGGACGCGCAAGTGCAACGCCTGCAAAAGGAGTGGAACGATGCCAGCAAGAAGCGGAGAGAAGCGGAAAGCCGGAAACAGATCCTCGAGACAGACATCAATCAGAACCTTCAGCTGCGTCTGGATCAACTCAACAGTCAGGCCTTCGAGAACAACACTTCTTCGGGAGAATCTGGCAGCCTTAAGGAGGCGCAGAGGGAACTCAAGAAGCTCCAACGAGAGACCGCCGCCATCGAAGCCAAGATGCAGGAGATAGAGGAGAAGCTCGAGGAGCAGGGCGGCAAGCTCGACCGCCGCGAGGCCAAGAAGGCAGAGCAAGAAGAGATCCGCAGCACCGTTGCCGCAAGAGAAGCCAAGCAACGCAGCTCGATCGAGAAGAGCATGTCCAAGAAGGCCGTTTACACGGCGCAGGCTGCCGATGCTGCCAAGGCGATCAGAGACCTTGGAGTCTTGCCCGAGGAGGCCTTTGACAAGTACGAGAGGATGGATCCCAGGCAAATCGACTCACGGTTGAAGAAGGTCCGCAATGCCCTCAAGAAGTTCCAGCACGTCAACAAGAAGGCGTTTGAGCAGTACAACAGTTTCACCCAGCAACAGGACCAGCTCCTGAAGCGCAGGAAAGAACTGGATGCTTCGCAGGAGTCCATCGAGGAGCTTGTTGCCCATCTCGACCAGCGCAAGGACGAGGCCATTGAGCGTACCTTCAAGCAAGTGTCCAAGGAATTCGCCACCATCTTTGAGAAGCTCGTCCCGGCTGGACACGGGCGCCTGGTTATCCAACGCCGGACAGATCGCCGCGTCGACCCTGAGGAGTCCGACGAGGAGCAGAACCGCAGCGTTGAGAACTACACTGGTGTCGGTATCAGTGTATCGTTCAACTCAAAGACTTTGGACGAGCAGCAGAGGATCCAGCAACTCAGTGGTGGTCAAAAGAGTAAGCCAGGCTCTCTCCCTAATGTGATCGTACCAGTCTTACTAACAACTCGCCCAGGTTTGTGTGCACTGTGTCTCATTTTTGCCCTTCAGCAAACGGAGAGCAGTCCCATGGTCATCTTCGACGAGGTTGACGCCAACCTTGACGCCCAGTACCGTACCGCCGTTGCCAGCCTTTTGGAGTCAATCTCCCAAGAGGCCGGAACGCAGTTCATCTGCACCACCTTCCGACCCGAGATTGTCCACGTCGCCGACAAGTGCTATGGTGTGACTTTCCACAGCAAGACGAGTTCCATTGACTGTGTACCTACCGAAGAGGCGCTGAGCTTCGTCGAGGGTGTCGCGGCAGGAAAGTAAAGTGAAGAGAGGATGATTGGTGTGTACGTGTTCTGTGGGAACCATGTTCATGATTTTCGGTCTGGGGGGTGGCTTGAGGATTGGGGCTCCCCTCGTCATCGTCCGTTGACGAGAGGGGAGAGTCTCTTGGCAATGGCGTTGCGGCGACTTGTGGCGGTTGACTGTTTGATATCACGGGGGGCTTTGCCTTGTCTGTAAGTGAGTTCTGGTAGAATATGAGCTTAGGGTTTCTTATTTTGGCACCATTCATAGCTTCTATTACGAAACCATCAATCACGATTGTTCATTCCCGTCATAGAGAGATAGACTTACTTGCCTGTTGCATTGCCAAGTGTGGCATTGCCCTCTTGTGATGTGTAATCCACCTCTTGCCACGACGACGAAGACCTCCTTCATCTTCATGAATGATCAACATCATCAACATCATCATCAAACTCTTGGCCTTTCCTCGTCCCTCATTACGCGGCCCGGCGAACAACTCATCACCCCCCCATATCTTCATCGCTAACGAATAAGCAGAACAGGTTCACCATATCACACACTCGGCTGGTACGTCGCCAACAAGCCTATGCGGCTTAGGGGTAGATCTCCCGGAACCTTGCTTGCTACATTACGACTCTGCGTCTCTGCTTAAAGACCGCAGGGCTGTTGAATCCCGCCTCATTGGTTAACCGTTCCCACGTCACCACCTGTGGCTGGAGCACTTCGGGAAGAAAAGGAAGTTTTCTATCGGAGGAGGAGGGGGAGGGGGAGGGGAAGGAGGGGCAAAGCATCCGAGACGATTGGCTTTCCTCTTTTTTTTTTCCCCTCGCCCTTTCGCCAAGAAAAGCAGGCCACCGCCCTTTCTTCTAGACTACGGCCTACTCCGGGGGATCTACGGTCCTGCATATGAACCATACCTTGAGGCTTTTAGCCGAGGGGAAGGAGGAGGAGGAGGTTGGTTGGTTGGGGACTTGTTACTAGTGCAGTGGTTTTTTTTTTTTGCTTGGCTCTCGTGAGTTTCTACTCAGCCTTGCCAGGGACGACTCTATCCGTACGGACCGTACCCGCCGGCCGCCGTGCCGCCATTGCCAAATTCGGAACTCTGGAGATGTGCTATTCCTGGACAGAGAATGCCTGCGGGATGGTATCTGATCTGCGTGTGTGAAAAGAAGGTGTGTCACTCAATGGATGATCTCCAACTGGGATATTTTCTGCATAGTTGTATGTGACATATTATCCGTGTTCACCCCATGTCACGATCCTCCTTCACTTCGGCACTTGCAAGTTTTGGAACTTGGTTCTCCCCCATCGTCGTTTCTGAAAAAACGCCCCCCAGTTACGCGGGGGGTTGGGGTTTGGGTGGGAGGATGGAACCTTGGGGGGTTGGTTTGACATTTGGCATGGCGGGGAGTTTTGATAGGTGCCCGACGGTGACATTTCCTGGGGGAGACCGGCAACGGCGAGGCAGACAAAACAAAGCCACCCGGAGGAAAGATCCGAGCTCTTCACGAAGGGGAACCAAGAATCCGGGGATCATCAATGCTCCCCAATCAGAGCAGAAGGGGAGCTCAGGGCTGGGTTGAGAATAGAATAGATATCTAGCCGTACGGGTACGGGTAGGGGAGATGGGAATTTGACCATTGTTTTACAGGCCAAGAAATGGCATGTTGCTTGAAACTTCTTGGCTGTCGAGTGTAACTACCACGATAGGACAGAAGACAAACACGGAGGAAAGGTGGCCATCAATGCTTCAACAGAATTCTTGGCCAAGGGGTCTTTGGGGGGATCTCGACAAGAAATCTGGTACCCGGCTTGGGATTGGAGAACCAAGACTTCATCAATGCCCGTGAGAGGGTGACAGGAAGAGAGGACGACATGCGGGAAAAGAAACGCCAATGCCGATCTGGCCCCCAGCCTCAACCGGGCCAAGACCGATATTCGTGAGCATCGAAAAAGCTTCAATGCCGGCAAATCGTCTTGGGACTTCTTGGGGTGACGGATCAGGGTGGGAAAAAAGGCTTGAGAACCTCTTGGAAACTCTTGGGTGCTCTTGGCGGGTTTGTAAAGGTCCGCTAGGTGTTTTGGATGGGGAGGAATCTGTTGGTCGAGAGCAACTTTTTTTTTTTTTGCTTGTGTGTTTTTTTAGAAAAAAGATGCGATGAGACGAAAAAATGGGAAAGAGAGTTCAGACGTCTCTCCCCCCCTTCCCGCCCGACGGGATTGATGGGCGATCACTCTTCCCTCTACGGAGGGATTCTCCGTACGGGACAGGCAAACCCCAAGCGTCGAGCGTGCCAAGCATGCAGAAGTGAGTGTAGGCATGAATTCTACAAGCGCCACAGGCCACAGGCTTACAGATTCTTCTCTCTCGAGGAACGTGTGTCGTCTCTACGTCGTTTGAGGTGGTTGCAGAAAGACCGTTAGAAGGTCCCCCCCCTTTCCACCCCGTACGAGCATCACATTTCTGTAGTGCAGTTTGTCTGCGTGTGTCTTACCTTAGTCAATCACGTTGTTGATCTGGTGCCGCAGCGGTAGTACTATGTATAACTTCTGTGCTCATCCAGCCATGAACCAAAACTGGTCAAACGGACCCTGCAGGACTTTTGTGTACGGCTGTATGGCCCAAGAGGCACGAGCCATGTTTCCAAAACGGCGAGAGTTGATACGTGCCGCAAGTTATTACGGCACTTGGATGACCAAATCTGCGACTTGGCAAAGTCTTGCGCTGAATCAGTTGCAGTCTTGCCAAGACAATTTCGAGGGACGTTCTGACGAGTGACTTCCAACGGAAACAAGAAATCGAGGCTGGCCTGCAGGAGCACGGGGATTACATCGAACATCGCATAACCCCAAAAAAATCACCGAGTTACACCGATTGAACCATCAACCACCCCCATGGGGACGGCCAATTGACCGGTGGCTTTCTTGGTTCACAACCTGGAAAGCGACTCCATTCTTGGGGCCTGCCCTTGGGGTATCCTCTTTGCTGTTTGGAGAAAATACAGGGCATGGTTTTCTCTTTGGTAACAGGCATGACAGGTAAGTGGTCGGCCATTGGGGGCCGTGTTTAGAATGGAATACGGCCGATCACTACCGGCCTCGCCCACTACCAAGCTCATGGGAGCCCACTAAAGGGTTGGCCTTGGTTGGTCGAATTGAAGGATCTTGAAAGAACCAAGAACCTGCTGGAAGCCTGGTGTGCCTGGAAACCCGGGTCGGAGATGGCCTTGTTGTCGTCGGTGCGCCAAACAAATGGGACCGGAGTTGAGAAATACTGGGGAAGGACGATGGGGAAGCAGAAGAGATGGAGGAGAAACTGGAGCCTCGCGAACGGTAGCGTGCCCTCGTGAGTCGTGAAAGCCTCGTCCATGGTGCGCGCCTGCGCGGAGATGTGCGTGTGGGCAAATCACAATCTCTCCGAAATAATGAGGCGGTCAAGATCCGCGGACTCTACTTGTTTAGCAGCGGGTATTTCTGCGCTGCGGCATGGCCAGCCCGGCGCTCAATTCGCGCCGACCGCCGTCCGGGTATAGCACGAACGTCGTCATTCGCGCAAACCACATCAATTCGACCACGCCGGTGCGGTCCCGAGGTACGGAGATGGGGACGATGGGGTAGGCGGGTTTGCCCTTATTTTCTTTGTATTAATCTTTTTTGTTCATAGGAGACAAGGAGATATACCCCCCGATTCAAGGCCTTTCATTGGTCGGGACAGCCTGGGAAAGCATGGAATGCCAGGAATGGATACCGAGGACACGAAGAGAGTGAGAGTGAAATATCCATCGGCGCGATTAGCCCCGTATCCACAGGGAACCACTAGCCTCTAGTATCAATAAGGAACCGAGGAGGATTTGAGGAATGGAATGAAGTTCCCATTGTTGCATTAAGACGATTCGGCCCATGCCCAATTTTAGGGAAGGGGCCTTTCCCTCGGACGGGTGCCACTCGACGACGACGAGGACGACGACGACGGCTACGACAACGACGGCACGTCACAGAGGGACCCCTGGACTCTCCTCCATCAGATTCAGACTTGGACTGGGTAATTGATGGGAACCTGTTTGACAACGCGCCGTTTCTGGGAAACCCCACGTCACGAATCAGCGAAGCACAAAGAGATTCATGGCAAAACGAACCGAAGAGCATAACATAAAAATAAAACTGGATCCTCGTTATGAGCAGAAAACAGGGTCTCTAGTGGCTGGGAGTGGAGTCGAAGGCTGATTCAAGCTGAGGACGACGACGAGGATCGGAGGACGAGGATAGTAAGCGCCTCCGCCGCCGTAGGACCGTAGGACGGCTGACGGCCAGACTGATGGAGCTCTGGGGGCTGTTTTTGTTCGAGGTCGTTCGCCTGGTTTCAGTCAAAGTGAAGATTGCTAACTGGTCATTTTCGTTGACTTTTCTCTTCTTCTGATGATAAGATGGGACAATGCAACGCGACGGAACTCTCGCGGTTGCATCTGCCCTGTCCTCGACGGATACCACGTTGGAAATAGAAGCTTGAGCGATTTGGGACTTGGTCTGGCCTGTTATGGTTCGGCTCGAGACCTGACATCCCATCTGTTGGCGTTGGCGTTAATACTGGTGCGGCAGCTTGTTGCTGCATTATCTTGACAGGAAGAGTTTGTTTGGTTGGGAGAGACGAGTCCGCCACGCCGTCGGGCCTTTTCCGACCCCCAGACCGCCACCTTCACAGTGCTATGCACGCAGCACGCCTCACTGGTGAATCAAGGCCCTCTGAAGAGCTTTCAGTATGAGCCAAATAACTCACCGTGGTATCGTCCTAATACACCTAGGAGACTCCACAAGTCTACGGCGTATTCCCGGGTGTAGAGACGGCTCCGTTCTGTTTTGAACGAGGGGCCCGCGTTTCCAACGTGGAGGGTTACATTCACCTACCGCCGCAGTGTATCCGTAGTACCGTACCCGTCGTGCGCCAACCCGACCCGACCACACACGTCGATGAGGCGAACTGTGCGTTTTGCGGACGCTAGGAGACTTGTTGAACCCTTGACTGGTCGTGACATGCAGGAACTCTGGGGTTCGCTCATCGGCTGCAACTTTGCGCGCGTGTACGGAGTACCTTGGGTATGTACCTGACTGTTTGTGTGCGCAACCCTGCCAGAAACGAGACGGTGGCATCGACCTCGGCGGGAGTCGTATCTCAGTCCGTATCTTTCGACGTCGTATTCTTAGGAGCCTTCAACTTTGAGAAGGGAACGTGGGGTGTGGGAGGATTGGGGCAACATTTGGCGATCTTGGACGACGGACGAACAAGCGCGACACATTTTTGACACGGCACTAAGGTACGCTCCCACGGCTCCCACGACGTTTACTCTCAGTCTCGAGTCTCGTCCGGGACTACAGGCCGGGGCCAGGCCAGGCACAGACGATTCCTGTATGCTTCCCGCGATTTGCGCTCCCAAAAGCCATGGGAAGGGTGCAGAGTGGCTGGGGGGGCCGGGAACGTGGTGGTGGATGGGTGACGGTAACACAAGACGCCATCGAAGAGATACAAGCCTCTAGTGGCCGATCTGCAGATATCGGCTGTACTAAGGGCGGGCATCGTGTAGACGGGCACATCCGTCGTTGAAGAGTGACAGTGGTGCGCCGCCAGCGTTGGCGTCTGGTGGCGTCGTGCTTGTGTGTAGTGTGTACAGATAGTATGCGGTGCGTGCGGTGAGCGGTGTGCGATAGGTGTGTGCCATGTGTGTTTATGTCGTGATATGCCGTTGGTGGTGTAGGGGTTTTGGTTGGACGAAACCGGGGGGAGGGATAGAGAGAGGAAATGCCAAGAGAAAGGAGGCTCAATCGGCTGTGCGACTCGACATTGACGACATTGTGATTGAGAGCTTGCGTTTCGGCCGTGGCTTTGAAGTCTGTGATGGTGTTGTGGTTGGATGTTGGTGGCAGGCTGGGAAAGCGATGGAGTTTTCTCCGAAACGCAGCCAAGTCCAGCCCTGCCCGCCTGCCACAGCTTACGCAGATCACTACAGGTGAGGCAGGCGCGGCAGGTGAGCAAGGTGAGGCAGGGAAGGAGAAAGGCAGGTGAATGAGGAAAAGGATTGACAGGAACCACGAAGTCACCCAAGCATCAAGGCAAGGCAGGTAGGTACTTGACGATGCTTGGCGCTTGCCGTTCAGAGTGCCGTTCATGTTCCCAACCTTAACGGCAGGAATAACGACAGGAATCTCCGCTGTGGCCGCGGTGTCCCGTCGTCCAATTGCATATCAAAATATCTGCAGATGCAAGACCGTCGTCGTTGACTTTTTCCGCCGCCACCACCGCCTCCGTCGCCTTCGCCGGACGTTAACTTTTTTTTTTTCCTCTCCTTGTCCTTCCATGTTTAATCGTACCTGGGATATGGCGTTCTTTGTCTGACAATCTTCGTCGGCCGCGCGGGACCAGGGTCGAGGTACAGACGACTCGAACCAACAAAGCGGCAGACTGTGGTTCTGCACAAGAGACGGAAACTCAGGTACAGGGGACCCCCACTCAATGAATGAGGCCCCTTGTTGCACAAATCGTTTTGTTGTTGGTTCTTATCTTGCATCCCACAGCCTCGAGCATACTTGCGCACGCACAAGCCATCCGAAAACAGGGCAGGCAGGGCAGCGTGGCAGGGCACCTTGTTGAGAGTGCAAGGCTCACAACTAGTGTACGGATAACTCGACGGGAACGACCAGAGTCGGAAGAGCCACCCGACGCTTGATAGGCGCCATCGGTGGCTCGGGTCAATTGACTTGGGTTATGACGATGTAAGTGGCTACTTTACCGGTCACGGTCCAAGCTCACGACTCGGCAGAAGTAAGAGGTTTCTCACTTGAGGCTAGAGTCTAATTGCTAAGCCTCAATTGACGAAATGTTCAAATCAGACAAGTCAATGCCCTTGAGGTTGGGATTATTGGGAACTTGGGACCTGGGTAGGGGTTGGGGGGGAACCGAAAGAAAGCCCCAATGTATGTTTGTTGGCATAGAGCAGGACTCCAGGACGACGTTGCGTAGTTTGTGATATCTGACTTGCCATCATCAAATGTCGCGGGATGCTTGCCTGCCTGTCGCAGTGTTGTGCGGCTTGCCTGTCATTTGTGCCTGCATTTCGTGAACTCGGCCTGCTACTCCGATTTCCCCCAGCTTTTGATTTCATTAGAGTAATCTTGGCAAGTTGAGGCCTGGGTCAAATGGCCAAGTCACAAGTCGCGATTGGAAAGTGAGATGGTCATGTCTCAGCCCCCACTATTCCCTTCCAGCCTTTTTTCCCCATAAAAAACTGCTGCAAAGCACCAAAAGGAAGGAGTGAACCGAGATGGGCGCTATGCTTCCTTTGGTAGGCAGACACGGCAGGAGAGCCCAGGGCCCAAATGTTCGCATCTCGGTAATGACGCGAGATGCAGGACCGGCCGGGTTTAAACGAAGAGAGAGCGAGACTCACCCCCAAGCTTTCCCGAACATTGAGCCTTTGATTTCCCTTCAGCCTGATTTCCTTGATTTATTGGAAAGTTGGGGGCCCGTAATCCGTTGCCAATGCCATTTCGGTCCCGTCTTCTCTTTCGTCAGAACCGAAGCCGCGGTAAATCCACCCACCATCCATCCACAACTCATCACTGACCACTCATCCACCCCAGATTCCCAAGGCCAAGTGGACGAGTCCGGGTTAGGCTTGGCTGCTCGTCAAATTACTTTGTCAAGCGAGCCGCGACATTGAGAGAGAAAGATAGGAAAAATACCCTTCCCCCCAAAAAACAAACCGAGAGAAGCCCGGACGGTGCGAGCGATGGATGCAACAACGCATACAATCATACAAAACATGTCTACGGAGTGCAGATACCAAGTTAGTGCTACCAACATGGCCATGGAACACATGCCTCCCCAGGCCTCGGCAAAATGACCCAGCGACTTTGGGAAATTCCTCATCCAGGCACGCCAACGACTAATCTTGGCCCAACTTCCAAGCCCGGGCCAACAAGGCACGTTCGTCACAGGACAAGGCAATCGAGCACCAAATGAAATATGTCCTTCTCTTATCTTCCTCCCGAGTTGAATACAGATCACGGATCGCGCGCCAAGCGGTTGTTTCCGAATGCATCCTGGTCGTGCGACGCGAGGGTCGGTCTTGACCAAAGCTTCTACCAATCCCTGTGCCACACAACGCTACGGTTACCATGAAGGAGGTCCAAGGCAACCTGGAAAAGAGGTTGAGAAAACACACAGACGCACGCTTGCAGAGTCCCAATTCGTCCCTTCAGATTCCTTGGATGTTTGATCTTCCACAGTGTTGACTGTTTCAACTCAACCACGACGACGACAATTCCCGCGACACGGCAAGGCGAAGAAGGAAAGGAACAGCATCCCCGTTCCGTCCCATCCCATCCATACCCCTTCGAATCAGGAAGAGACAGAGACACACAGAGAGCCACAGAGAAAGACGGGAAAGAGACCATGACGGAGAAACGTCGAATTGCCGACATAGCAGGGGTATCCGTACCTGGATTGTACCCACACCCTGGACAATTCCGCAGTTCCCACAGTTGCAGAACATTGATCCACCGATCCATTCAACCCAGCGCTGCCAATCCAATCCCATCCCGTCTTCTTCTTCATCGATCCCAGCCAATGACGGCTCGGATATTCGTTGACATGCATTGGCAGGCCAAAGGTGGGCTAGCTAGTCTGCAAGGGATCCGCAAAATTGCCGTGTTTGTCGTGTGTCGAAAATTCCCGCCCACACGGCTGCTGCACCGAGACTGCGGGACTTTTTCTCCCAAAGCACCGAAGGTTGGATGGGATTTTCCAGGTTCGTCTGGCAAGCGCAATAGCATCGCTTTATGCAGCGACAGGACGACTGCAGAACACTCGAAAAAGGAAAGACGGGCAGTAGAACACGGCACCGAGAGCGAGTCCAGCTAGGTCAACCAGTGAGAGAGAGAGAGAGAGAGAGACAGACTTCCGGGGGTCCAGTCCCGCCATGTCTTGGCGACTTCTGGTTGGGGAGGCTTGGCTGAAGCTGAAGCTGGTCTCTTTTTACTGCTGTAGGCCCCGATTGTCTGTTCTCAAGTTCTGAGCAGACACACGAAGCCCCGTGGCTGGCCCGGCTGGGAGTTCTGTCACCACTATCATACTTTGGCGTGTACCTCAGCAATGACGATTTCCATAAACTCTCCCGGCCACCCTCTCCCATGCAGGTCCAGCACATCAATGGGACTTTTTCACAGCCGCAATCGACAAAAGGAAGAAGCAAAGGTCGGACGAAGATTGAGTTCCCAGGCGGGAGGACTGGCCACCAATTGGCAA